CATGCCTTAAATGCACTCGGGAGGCAGAGGCAGGAGGATCTCTGTGAGTTCAAGGACAGCCTGGTCTCCAGAGCAAGTGCCAGGATAGGCTCCAAAGCTACACAGAGAAACCCTGTCTCGAAAAACCAGAAAAAAAAAAAAAAAGATTGGAAATTTCAATTTTGGAGCTATAGTGTAGACCAGTGATGGAGTGCTTGCTTCACATGCACAGTGCACAGGGGCCGGGGATAGGCATTGAGAGTATTTGTTTATACTTTGTGAAGATGTGTCTATGTTTTGCATCACTTGCCTAAGGCACCTGATTGGTTTGATAAAGAGCTGGGTAGCCAATAGCTAAGCAGAAGAGAAAAGGCAGGACTTCCTGGCAGAGAGAGGAACTCAGGGTTAGAATCTGGCCTGGCTGGAGACATCAGCAAGACATGGAGGGAACTGGACATACAGAATGGAGGAGAGGTAGACAGCCATGTGGCAGAATGTAGATTAATAGGAGCAGGTTAATTTAAGTGATAAGACCTAGTTGGGAACAAGCCTAAGCCAAAGGAAAAGCCTTCACAATTAATAAGTCTTCATGTCATTATTTGGGGGCTGGCTGTCCCAAAAGACCTGCAACAGTTAGGGCTCAACCTTGAGCTGAAATCAGCTGGCATCTTATGTAGACTCACAGAAATTGGGCCTATTCTATAGAATGGCTCAGATGAGCCTTAAAACAGGCATTAATCCCATGATACTGCTTACATATTATTCTAAGCATGTCATCAGCTTCAGTGCTCATCTGAGGGGTCCATGGCATTAGACTTTTAGGAATCCTAGTCGAATTCCTTGCTTATGGCCCAGGCCATCAGATACTTGAAGACAGTTTCAGCTTTGTCGTTGGCAAACTGAAGTCCCTAGCATTCTATTTCAGGATAGAACTTGTCATTAAGAAGCAGTGGCTTGGGAAGGGCTGGAACAGGAAATGGGATCCTCCTGTTCCTGGGCCAGATGCTCTCACAGCAGCAACACTGCCCTGTAGCAGAGTCTTGGTGGGGGAAGGGAGGCCAGCAAAAAAAAAAAAAAAAAAAAAACAGATGGTATTTAAAGAGCACAGTCCAGGTTCCTGAGTGTGTATGGGAAGTGTAGCTGACACCACTACAAGAATTTCAGCTACCACACAAGGGAGGAGAAATCATATGTGGCATTATGATCCATAGTAAACCACTTAGATGGATTTATTTTTTCTATTCTGTCTGAGCAAACCAAAGTCCAGAAAAGATTTGGTTAATTAACCTAGTTCATCCAGATGTAAAACTAGGCAAAGGGGCTGGGTGTTAGTGGTGCACACCTTTAATCCCAGCACTCGGGAGGCAGAGGCAAGCATATCTCTGTGAGTTCGAAGCCAGCCTGGTCTACAGAGCTACTTCCAGGACAGGCTCCAAAGCAATACAGAGAAACACTGTCTTGAAAAAGCACAAAAAACAAACAAACAAACAAACAAACAAACAAAAACAAAACAAAAACTAGACAAAGGGTGAAAAGTGTTGGGAAGATCCATTTAGTGGGGAAGCTGGATCCAAGGTGAGGTGAAAGGATGTCACATTTTTGATGGTAGAAGTCGGTGGAGAGATGTCAAGTGCCAGGCAAGGCTTTAGTACTAAAGCAGGGTTTTTCAACCTTCCTAATGCTGAGACCCTTTAATACAGTTCCTTATGTTGTGGTGAACCATAAAATTATTTTCATTGCTACTTTATAACTGTAATTTTGCTATTGTTATGAATGATAAAGTAATATCTGGTATGTATGATATTTGTTATTGTGACCCCTGTGAAAGGGTCATTTGACTCCAAAGGCGTCGTTACCCACAGGTTGAGAAATACTGTGCTGAAATAACTCTGGGAAATACTGTGCTAAAATAACTCTGGGAGTTAGGGAAGACAGCACAAAGCACTTAGGCCCAGGTCAAAGCAGGAGCCATACATTCAGAATTCATATTCCAGATGGTGTCTGAGTCCCCACCCCAAGGATAGCAGACCCCGGGCCTTTCCTCTCTATGTCTTTTCTTCTGGCTGGCTCCCAAGAGCCTCCGAATGTCGCATCTGAATCCCATGCTAATGTTCTCCTCTGAATAGAATTCCTGTCAACAGATCTCTGTCTCTAGAGACCTCAGCTGAGCCCTCTTTGTTCCTTACCTTTTCAGTAACTTCCCCTCTAAACTGAGTGTCACTTAACAAAAGCACCCAGAGCCAAAACATTCATCTTCAACTGAGATTGCAAGCTCATCTACCGAATCCCAAAGGGCTAGCCTTAGCATGTATGTTGATGACTATATTTCAAAATGAAACTTAATTCACTCAGAGAGAAAATGTAAATACACAATAAAAATACTCAACATTTTTTAAAAAGGTGAATGTTTTAGCTGTGTGTTTTTCCTTCGAGTGATATGAAGGCACTTGCATAAATCCTTGTTTTACAAAGTTTAACTGGACACACCTGGTTAATGAACTTTGAAGTGATATGTAAAAGATCATGCTATATGAAAGATGTATTTCCCAAATAGATGTTATTCATGGAAGGAACTCTGGGAGGTAAATCAGTAAACAAGAAATGTTCTCTATCTGGGAGGAGGTAGCATATGCCTTTAACCCCAGCACTAGGGAGGCAGAGGCAAGTGGATCTCTGTGAGTTCAAGGCTAACCTGGTCTACAGAGTGAGTTCCAGGATAGCCAGGGCTGTTACACAGAGGAACCCTGTCTTGTAAAACAAAACAAAACAAACAAATACTAAACAAAAAAAGAAGAAAGGAAGGAAGGAAAGGAAGAAAGAAAGAAAGAAAGAAAGAAAGAAAGAAAGAAAGAAAGAAAATATATGTGCCCTGCCTCAAAGAGCTGCTCACTGACTGGTAGGGATGAACAGAATGCCAAAGTGCTTACAGGGGCGTGAACACAGGGTTATGACAGCTACTTTGGTGTTAACAGGAATGATCCTTTTCTTCCCAGCCTGGTTCTTCCTTCTGTGGTTACTTCTTAAAATCATTCACAGCATCTAAGATATGTGTTTCTTGTAAGAGATTTCCAATAAACTTAAGTGAATGGGTTGAACTCAAGCAGGCAGTATTTGGTGTTGTATCTGGGTGAACATTGGATAAATATTTTTGTAAGTTACGAGTTGTTTATCCAAATTAAAAGATTTTCTAAGACAATATGGATAATTCTATTATTATGCTGTTAGGGCTTACCTTTAGAGATGGCCCGAGTATTATTGCATTAGATCAGTTTCTCTGAACTTGGCATCTTTGCTGTTAAATGGCATCCCTGGATAGGTCATCTCTGAGGTCTCACATAGCTCCAGCATTCCCGTCCTCCCTTGATGCCTATCAGGACAGGCTCCACCTTGATTGTGTAGCCCATTGCTCACTTTCATAATGGTTATTAGCTTCCATGGTTATTAGCTTCCTGGTATCAAATGGCTTAGCATTCAGAAAGTGTGTGTGTGTGTGTGTGTGTGTGTGTGTGTGTGTGTGTTTCATTGGCCAAACCAGTCTCTTAAAAATGCCCACATGAGAGCCATTATAGGTTTAAAAAGAAATCAGGAACTAGGAAAATGTCTAGAAATCTACAAGGTTGACCCCAACTAACAATCTAAGCAACAGTCAAGAGGCTACCTCAAATGCCCTTGCCCAATAATGAAATTGATGACTACCTAGAGCCTTCATCCAGTAGCTGGTGGAAGCAAAAGCAGACACTCACAGCTAAACACTGAGCTGAACTCTGGAATCCAGTTGCAGAGAGGGAGGAGTGATGAGCAAAGGGGTCAAGACCAGGCTGGAGAAACCCACAAAAACAGCTGACCTGAACAAGGGGGAGCTCATGGACCCCAGACTGATAGCTGGGAAACCAGCATAGAACTGATCCTGACCCCCTGAATGTGGGTGGAGGTCTGGCTAATCTGTGGGGCCTCTGGTAGTAGTTCAGTATTTATTCCTAGCAAAAGAATGGGCTTTGGGAGCCCATCCCACATAGAGGGATACTCCCTCATCCTAGACACACGTGGGAGGGCCTTGGCCCTATCCCAAATGATATGACAGACTTTGAAGACCCCCCCCATGGAAGGTCTCACCTTCCCTGAGGAGCAGAAAGGGGTTGGGATGGGGGTTGGTGGGAGGGGAGGAGGGACGGGAGAGGGACCTGGGATTGACATGTAAAACAAGCTTGTTTCTAATTTAAATAAAGATAAATAAATAAAAATACCCACATGAAATAAGAGCTCTCTGTAACTTTATTAGTTGATTATGCCAATAAGCATCTATTTGGCATAATTCCCCAGGCATTTATTGAATTAAAGTAATTTTCTCATCTGTACTAGCATATAAACTTTCAACCCCATAAATGAAAATTCTTTTCATGTGTATTTTGAGATGGAAAGCAGACATGAATTTCATCTTCAGATGGTTTAAGTACACATTGTTAAGATGTAAATTATGAATAGTTTTAAAATGGACGTTTCTTTCTTAAACATTCATTTCATTGAATTAAACCATTGGGTACTTTGGAATAAAATAGGATATCTACTGCACAACTAAAGAGAGTTATTTTCATTCACAGAACTTCACAAGTTTGAAATAATATAGAGAAAAGCATTAATGCTGGCTGTTCATGACATTTTACAAAGGGAAGGAAAAGTAGTTGACTTTAAAACAATTTTTTTAAAAATTTTTCGAGACAGAGTTTCTCTGTGTAACAGCTCTGGCTGTCCTGGAACTCACTCTGTAGACCAAGCTGGCCTAGAACTCATAGAGATCCGCCTGCCTCTGCCTCCCAATGCTGGGAGCAAATGCATGCGCCACCACCACCCACTTCAAAATATTTTCTTTAAATTATTCAAATTCCTTAATTATTGATAGTGAATGTCTCTGTTAAGCACCATATTTTTGGGTTAAGCCTGTAAAGTGTTTAAATCTGAGAGCAAGATGTAGGCAGAAGCAAAGTGCCCCCTCTCAATGTGTAAGTGACTAAGGGACAGCTGGAAAGGGCCTTCTCAGCCTTTATTCACACCCTGCCTCCTTTAGGACTTACTCCATGGGCCACAGCAGGAGATCACCAGTCCTTAGAACACACCCAGGAGGGCCAGTTCCTTACCCATGATGACAAAGAAGTGTAATTTGCTGAAGAATGACTCTGCCTTAGGTATTATAAAAACGTAAGGATTTATAACATCTCAGCAGGACAATGCTTCAAAACTTCACACTTCTCTACTTGCTTGCCCCTTGTCATTTTTCTACCAGACACCCTCAAGAGAAAAGAAAAACAAACAAAAAAATTAAATTGTTGTTCAAATAATATTAATAATTCATCACCAGATGGAATGAGAGCTATAAATAACAGTGTGGCATTGACTGGTGTAAAGGGACTCACAAGTATAGTTTGTGTATCAAACTTTCTCAAAATTTACAGTCCTGGTAATAACTACATATGCTGTCAACTGACGTACCCCCCCCCCCCCCCCCCCCCCCCCCCCCCCCCGCCAGGCCAGTGCTCTCTGCTAAGGGCTCTGTAATTACGTACACTAAATGAGCTCTAGCTTGAGCTAATAATACCATACTGAGTACTTGAAAACCATAATTATACGGCAACACGATGTGCACTTGGCAAGATTTCCAGTGTTAGGGGATCTATTGTCATACGGCATCTGTCAGAGTTAAAAGTCAAATTGTGGGGTTAGAATAATTGGTCTAGACTGAAGCAGTTCAGGGCACTGTGGCTCAATTAGAGTTAGTTGTCTGTCTTAGACAGTCAAATGCCATGATGATGAATATGTCCAGCAATTGCTTAGAATCCTAGATTACATATCATCTTATTTTAAAACACAAAGCTTCTCCAGGCTTGAACACCTGTTACATACCTGTGTGCCTCAATGCACATAGATATTTTTAAATAAAAATCCAAAAGAAGGAAGAGGGGATAACTTCACTGTTAGTTGCTCATGGTGATATATATATATATGATTGTGACACAGGGTATGTCACCTAGACATATGTACAGTCACCAATTGAATTGGTAATACCACTGACAGCTCTGCTGTCTTTAAAAACAACTTTACAATAAATGGCTACTCTATTAGTTGAAGACATTTCCAATCTGCCCCATCCTTTTCCTGGTAAAATAACAGAGAATTAGCTTCACAATGCTGAGTGTTATAAGTTAGTCCTTTTTGATAAACCGTCATATTTTATACCATGTGCTACCTCTTCTTTGGGCAGTAAAGATATTACATCCGTGCAATTTTTCCCTCTTTCCCACAGACACAGGGAATTCTGTTCCCTTCAAAAGGGTTAATTGCTGTGTTTCCATTTTATAGTTTACCTCTGAATTCCATTTAGCTTAGGAAAAGCCTTGTGTATTATATTTGCTTAAATTTCACCAAGTGCCATCACACTATTCTGGTGAAATTATTTATGGCTTAAGTGACTTTTTCACTTCCTAGGAATGCATTTTAATTCTAACTGATTTTGTCCTCCCTCCCTCTTCCCTGCCCCCCTCCTCATCCTCCTTGTCCTCCTCCTTCCTCCTTCCTTCCTTCCTTCTTCCATTTTTTTCTTTCTGAGTGTGTGAGTGTGTGTGTGTGTGTGTGTGTGTGTGTGTGTCCACGCTCGAGCATATCCATGTCAACCTTGGATGCCATGCCCCAGGAGATGTCTGCCTTGTTTTTGGAGATGGTTTCTCCCTAAGTCTAGGGCTTACCAATTAGGCCAGGCTGGTTAGAGAGTAGCCATGCAGCAGCCACTTTACCCACTGAGCCATCTTCCCAGCATCTGCCCCTCCTCCTTCCAAACTCAGTATTTTCAAGAACTTGCCTCTAAATGTATCTAGATTTCTCATGACAGCTGTGAGTCATATCCAACTTCCACAGTCACATGTTTACATAGGAAGCTTTTCCAAGTTTTATTTTCCTGACAGAGCCTAATTTGATTTTTGCACAGTTTGTTCAGTTCAGGAAATGATGTGTGTATTTTGGTGAAATTAATCTCTTAGCAGTGAGCCTGGATTATCCGGAAGCAAAAAAAAGTCGGTCTGAGTTGGTCAGTTTTTAGAAGTCACCATTCCAGAAAGGAATCAAGAGATTCACCCCCTCCCCCCACTTAACATGTGAGTTAAGAAAATTTTCCCCATTGTGAAAACTGGTGAGGATGTTCAGAGGTCAAAAGTAAACAAAAACAAAACAATCATGCTAAGAACACTGGTTACCACCCTGCTTGCTGAGGTGAAGGGTCACAACTGCTTTCTCTCTTTGGTAGCATTGCACGTTCCAGAAAACATTTGAGTTGTGTATCTCCAAGGAATCCACATATGAATAAGAAAACTAAAGGTAATTATAGGGATATATTTGGTGGAATCAAACAAGCTGATAATGGAAATGCAAAGCAGAAACTACCTTTGCCATTAAAATCGACTCAGGGATTGTTAGAATATGCTCCACCGAGGTTCAGTTCCTTGTGGCTCTTGCTATATGCTGACCACTTTTGTTGGCGTCCCCTCTTGCATTTCAAAGAGAGTAAAGTTTCTTCCTCTTCTTTACTTTGTTCCTCCCTCCCTCCTTCCTTCCTTGTCTTCTCTCTTTTACTTCATCTTTGAAGATGAGATAATCTAGAAGAAAGGCAATAGATCTGGTAAGAGAAGTCAACAAGAATGCACACCTATAAGATCCTCTGACAAAGATCCACAATGTTCCCCTGCATCAATAACAATCAGAAAGGACTATAGTAGATTCTGTGATGCCACTCAGAACAGTCAACAATCTCACAAATAAACCAGCAATGGGGCAGTGTTAAGAGCACTGGAGAAGAAGATCATGAAGTCAAAACAAGAGGGTATTAAAGGATAATGAGAGGACATAACCTAGAGTTTATAGATGGTTTCCACAAGGAAGTGTGACCTCATGGTGCTAGCTTAGATATCAGGTGTTTAGCAGGGAGAGAGAATATGACATAGAAAGACTCCTTCAGAGGCTGCACTGTCTTGGACTACTTATCCAACCGTGTCCTGCAGTGAACCGCTTTGGAAGACAGAAAAAAAGCAAAGGGCAAATAACGTTTCCAGAACATTATAGTAAAAATAGTGTCTCATTTCAGGGCAAAGATCAGTTGAGCTTATGAGAAAGAAATAATTCCATGAGATGTGCTGTGATTAGCACTGTTGGTTCCCTGGATAGCCATTTTTTGTCCACCCCTGTTTTGGAACTAACATCCTGTGACTAATAGATTACACACACACACACACACACACACACACACACACACACACACACTAGACTTTATTAACTTAGAAAACCTCTAGATTCAACCAGCTACATTATCAGATCGTGTCTGTGGCCCATGGGAAAGACTCCACCATCTTGCTGTAATCACCACCCTGACAACATCCACCAGCTATTTTGTAAATTGCCTTGATTATGACTTTTCTTGTTCTGTTACTGTAAATCTTCAACAAACTGCTTCACATTGGGAACATGGAATCTGGGGAAATGTAACTGCATGTTTCCTGGGGCATGGTCACTCAAATTTGGCTCCAGAATAAACTCTCTCTTATTCCCTTTGAGGTTGAGAGCTGTGGAGTTCTGTTTTGTTTTTTGTTTTCTTCCATCAACAGGAGTGTCTGAAATTCCACTTGTGCTCAGAGTGGGACTCTCTCCAATATAAATTATAAGAGCAGGAAGAGGAGCATAGCCGTCTCCACTTCCTGTTTCCTGTCACTGCCTCTGAGCTCCAGCCGCCCCATCCCCACCCCAGCTATAGACTGTAGATGGTAAGTTTCAGCTGAAACTGAAGCCCACCTCTTATTTTGGTACAGGCTGATGACCCAGAAGAGAAACTTCCCACTACAATAGAAACTTGTAAGCTATTTCCCCTTCCCATATTCAGACTGCCTTCCTTGCCCCTTCCTTATTCTAACTCCAGGAAAGTGTGTGTGTCACACACACACACACACACACACACACACACACACACACACACACACACGAGCACAGCTCCTGTCAGACCAAAAGAGAAAATAGCTATTTCTATGTTAGGTAAGAAGAGGAAGCAAGGGTTACACCATCAGATGGGAGTGCCAGGTGCAGAAAGAGAAAATAGTTTATAATAGCTTATTTCACTAACAAAGCTAGGGGATTCATGAACACAGTAGATTTCAAAGGCCTTGTGTCTCTTTTATTTTGCTTGTATTAATAGGCACTTTGGTGGCTGGTGCTGGGCGAGGCAGTTGTCCTTGGATATGATCACCTGTTACGATTCTAGCCAAAGTTATTGGTGTCTGGCTCTTGCCTGGAACCGCCCTTGATACCCCTCTATTGCTTGTTTGAGTGATGAGGAGGCTAGAATAAACCCACATGAATTTAGTGATGTGGATTCAGGACTTGCATCAGTGACATAATTCATGCTGGCAAATAAAAATTATTCATCTGCCTGGATGACGTTAAAAGTGACTTATTGGGGGAGTGTCAACTCCAAGTGCCAGCAGTGGCGCAGAAAAGCTACAGTTGAAGGCAGTACATGTCAAACAATGACTACACTCTCAGCTGTGCACTTTTTGAGGCCAGCAGGCAGGAAACCACTTGCCCTTTGGCCACACATTCTTTCCAAGGAGCTAATCCATGGTTCGTTTAGCAGGCCAGTGTAGCAGGAACCCTTCCCTGGAAGGAGGGGGAAGAATGACTTAAGCTATTGTCTTATTCCTGGTGGGGAAGAAAGGCGCTGTATTAATGAGTTGTGCACTGAGGAGCTGAATACGTAATGCCCCCTCACTGAAACAAAGAACAGTAACAGCAGTTTCACCTGTTCAGGAAGCCGTGCTTTCTTCCTCCTTGGAGGACTAGAAAGTACTGTAGCTTTACCAGAGAAGGGGAATCTGAATCCTGGGACTAGAGTGAAGAGGTAATGATCTCTGAATTTCATTGTCGATCTATATTCCCTAAATAGCACAGAGCTGCTTCCTATAAAGAAAAATGTTTACTGGATGGAAATTTTATTACCTGGACATTGCATCTGATGCACCAAGGACATACTTTGTAGACGAAAGGTCCTCCTGCCCAAGCTTGGTCTGTGTCCTTTTACTAATAGATGCAATCAATCAAAGTTTTTAAAATGGGGTATCTTAGACATTTTTGTGCCAATGGACCATTTCATTTAGAGTATCAGCTTGATGTAGCAACAGTAAAGGCCCCTGAAGGGAAAACTAGTTCTTTCTGGCCAAGAGGGTGAAAGGGATTTATTTCCTGGGCCTTGGTGCAGACATAACATTCCAAGCACCCCCAAAGATAAATAAATTAATCCCGAAATTCATCCAGTTTTGTCAATCAATTTCCTGGCCCAGTGACCAACCCTTAAGAAGAAAGGCCCATTCTGAGGTAGGTGAACTCACTTTCAGGCAGTTTCTCAACCTTCTAATGTTGTGACCCTTTTAATACAGTTCCTCATGCTGTGTGACCCCAGCCATAAAATTATTTTTGTTGCCACTTCATGAATGTAATTTTGCTAGTGTTACAAATCGTAATGTAAATATCCATATTTTATGTTGGTTTGGGGGTCGAGACCTACAGGTTGAGAACCACTTCTTAAAGGCCTGCTTGAGAAACAGGTGTGGACAATTATTCATTTACTGAGATGCTTTCCTCTTCAGAATCCCTGTCCCTAGTGAGGGCTCTTACAGTGCAGCCATGCAGCTTTGTAATTCTGCCCCATGTTCTGAGTAATTCAGAAAACTTGCCCTTTTCTTCTGTGTCTTCTCTAGGCATGCTTTCTTTCCCTAACACTTTGGGTTTCCCTCTTCTAAAGACCCCTCTGCTGCTAGGTGATGGGCTTCTGTGCCAGCTTAATTCGGTAGTACATCCCCTCCCCACGTCCCTTCTCCATTCTTCTCCTTCCCGATTCTGCTGAGATTGCCTCTTACTTGTCCTGTTGTTTCTTTCTTGTTTTTTTTTTTTTTAACTCTAATAAAACTGACCTCTTTGAATAAACTTTGGATTTGAAGGACTTTCCAATTTTCCTGTCTTTTAACTCCGATCTGTTGAGAAAACAAACCTGCTGTTGCACCCCTAGATGGCATCAAGTTCTCCTTTACCCTCTCCTACACTGATTTAAAATGAGTTTATCTTCAGAAAGAACAGCTCTTACCCAGATACTTGGGAGTAGGAGAAGGGAAAAACCCCAATCAGGGCTCAGCCTTAAGACAGTTTCTGTTTTGGAGACAGAGTTTTGCCAGGTGGCCCAGTCAGGAGCTGCCCTTGAGGCAATCCTCCTGCTTCAGCCTCTGGGGAGAGTTGTTAGAAGGGTGCATCCTGAGGCCTGGAGTAAAACTCTTGAATTTTCCTCAAGACTTGGCCACTGCTTTGTCTAAAGTGTGTTCACCATGGTTTCAAAAGCCAGCTCCCTCCGCATCCCAGGTACTGATGAAAACAAGCCATTTAAAGAATGAGGTAAGGAGCACAAATTAGGGTTACTTCATCTCTGATGCCTTCTGCCCACCTCTTTCCTGGCCCACATGCAAACAAACCTCATCATCTGTTCTTTTTCTTAGCATTGGTGTTGTATGATAATACTTTAACTATGCAAGGGTGTGTTACATTTGTTTCTGTTGCAGAATATTACTTTAACTGTGTAAAGATGTGTTGCATTTGTTTATGCTGTATTTGTTTGGGTATGTAAAGATATGTTGCTGTTTTTCATTGCCTGAATAAGGCACCTGATTGGTCTAATAAATGTTCAACATCCAGTAGCTAGGCAGCAGAGGGATAGGCAGACAGAATAAGAAGAGGAATCTAGACTTGAAATAGGAGTGAATGAGGGAGAAAGAAAGGGAGACACTTAGGGTCAGACAGATTGCTGCCAGGCAACCAGACATAGAGGAGGAAGCAGTAAAAATAGGACATATAGGAGAGATGGCTCAGTAGTTAAGAGCACTGCCTGCTCTTCCAAAGGTCCTGAGTTCAATTCCCAGCAACCACATGGTGGCTTACAACCATCGGTAGTGAAACCTGGTACCCTCTTCTGGCCTGCAGGCATACATGTAGGCAGAACACTGTATACATAATAAATAAGTAGATCTTTAAAAAAAAAGAATATATTCTTAAAAAAAAAGAATGAAAGAAAGGTAAAACTCCCTATGGCAAAATACAGATGAAGAGAAAAGGTTAATTTAAGTTATAAGAGCTAACTAGAAATGAGCATAAGATAAGGCAGGGCATTCTTAAGTAGTAAGAAGTATCTGTGTCATGATCTGGGGGCTTGTGGTCCAAGAAAACCTGCTACACATTGGTTTAGTTACTAGAGAGTAGGATGATTTACTTTCTGGTTTTACTTTTGTTAAATTGTGGGAGTATATTTCTCAGTGATGTATATCTTGTCCTGCTGAGAAGTGCAGGGAGATTAGTCAAGATGAGATTAATATTTCATAGGCATGTTTTAGAAAAATTACAACTGAATTCATAGAACACTGGAATTCTTGTTCACTTAATAAAAGATTTCTGGTATTCCTGTAGCTATCTATGACTTGTATTTTATGTCTCTCTCTCTCTCTCTCTCTCTCTCTCTCTCTCTCTCTCTCT